CGAGCACAGGGCTTCCAGGAGGCCGTGGCTCTGGCTCCGTCGCGCGGGATTCCCGGGATAGGGAGCAGTTGGTCAGGTTTGGCTTTTTTCTTTTTGATGAAAGTGTATATTTTTTCTTGTTTTTATTATTCTTTATTTTTTTCTTGTTGTTGTTTTCTTCGTTTTTCTTTATATTTTTTCTTGTTGTTTGCTTCTTTTTTCTTTATTTTTTTCTTGTTGTTTTCTTTTTCCTTTATTTTTTTCTTGTTGTTTGCTTCTTTTTTCTTTATTTATTCTTGTTTTTGTTCTTCTTCTCTCTTTCTTTCTTCTGTCTGTTTGTCTGGCTCTCTCGCTTTCTTTTCTCTCTCTTTTTTTCTGGTATTTCTGTTTGTCTCTGTCTCCCTCTCTCTCTCTTTCTCCCTCCCTCCCTCTCTCTCCTGTTTTGTTTTATTTTTTCCTTACCTTACCAACAAACATTCTATCGCTTTGCTATCTCTGATTTTATTCAATATTCCATCTTGCTTTCTTTCTCACACTTCCCTCAATCTTTGTTTTCTTACTAACTTTACTTTATATTCCTCTTGTGACGATTTTCTCTCTGTCTACGCTTCTCTCTCTATTTGTCTCCCTGGCAACACTTTCTGAATCTTCCATCTTCCTGACAACTTTTCCCTCTTTATCTTCTTACCACCACTTTCTTACTTCTTTATTTCCATCACTTTCTTCGATCTGTCTTCTTACCAACACTTTCTTACTTTTTTCTCTCCATCACTTTCTTCGACCTGTCTTCTTACCAACACTTTCTTAAATATTTATCTTTCTGGCAAGAAAGAAGAAGAAGAAGAAGAAGAAGAAGAAGAAGAAGAAGAAGAAGAAGAAGAAGAAGAAGAAAGAAAGAAGAAAAGAAGAAGAAAAAAAAAAAACGAAAAGTAAGAAAATGAAAAAAAGAAAGAAGAAGAAAAAAAGAAGAAGAAGAAAAAAACGAATAGTAAAAACAAAGAAAAAAAAGAAAGAAGAAGCAGAAGAAGAAGAAGAATGAGAAGATGAAGAAGAAAAAAAACGAAAAGTAAAAAAAAAAAAAAAAAAAAAAAAAAAAAAAAAAAAAAAAAAGTAGAAAAAAATAAAAACGACTTTCGCCCACTTTCCTTCCCCGCCTCGTCGCGCATCCGGCCGCCTCCCAGAGCGGAGGCAGCGGGAAATCGCCCTCACCCAATTTGCAACAATGCATAAGGAATTGCAAGGCGTTGACAGCGGAGCCGACCCCCCCCCCCCCACACCCCCGAGCACAGGGCTTCCAGGAGGCCGTGGCTCTGGCTCCGTCGCGCGGGATTGCCGGGATAGGCAGCAGTTGGTCAGGTTTGGCTTTTTTCTTTTTGATGAAAGTGTATATTTTTTCTTGTTTTATTATTCTTTATTTTTTTTTTCTTGTTGTTTCTTCGTTTTCTTTATTTTTTTTCTTGTTGTTTGCTTCCTTTTCTTTATTTTTTTTTTTTCTTTATCTTTATTTTTTCTTGTTGTTTGCTTCTTTTTTCTTTATTTGTTCTTGTTGTTTCTTCTTTTTTTTATTTTTTCGTGTTGTTTTCTTCTTTTTTCTTTACCTTTTTGTTGTTTTCTTTTTTTCTTGTTGTTTTGCTTATTTTTTTTTTTTTTTTCTTGTTGTTTTCTTCTTTTTTCCTTTTTTCTTGTTGTTTGCTTCTTTTTTCTTTATTTTTTCTTGTTCTCTTTCTCTTTCTTCTGTCTGTTTGTCTGGCTCTCTCGCCTTTCCTTTAATTCTCGCTTTTTTTTGTCTCTTGCTCTTTCTCTCTCTTCTTTCTGTTTGTCTCTGTCTCCCTCTCTCTCTCTTTCTCCCTCCCTCCCTCTCTCTCTTGTTTTGTTTTCTTTTTTCCTTACCTTACCAACAAACATTCTATCGCTTTGCTATCTCTGATTTTATTCAATATTCTGTCTTGCTCCACTTCTTACCCTTCCTTCAATCTTTGTTTTCTTGCCAACTTTACTTTATATTCCTCTTGTGACGATTTTCTCTCCCTATCTACGCTTCTCTCTATATTTATCTCCCTGGCAACACTTTCTGAATCTTCCATCTTCCTGGCAACTTTTCCCTCTTTATCTTCTTACCACCACTTTCTTCTTATTTCTCTCCATCACTTCCTTCGATCTGTCTTCTTACCAACACTTTCTTAAATATTTCTCTTTCTGGCAACACTGCATTTGGTCTTTTATCTCCTTGGCAACGCTTTCTCTGCCAACTATTCACTTATTCTTATTCGTCTGCTTGACAACACACTTTCCCAGGTATTTATCTTTCTGCCAACACTTCCCTTGCTCTGTCTCCTTGCCAGCACTTTCGTAAATGTTTGTATTGCTGCCAACACTATCTTCAATCTTCGTCTCCTTGGCAACACTTTCCTAAACAATAGTGTTTCCTTGCCAATACTTTTGTGAACACTTACATCTCAGCCAACACTATCCTCAATTTTCTCCTTGCCAACACTTTCCTAAACATTAATCTCTCTGCTAACACTTCTATTGGTCTGTCTCCTTGCCAACACTTTCTTAAATATTTATCTTTCTGGCAACACTGCAATAGGTATTTTATCTCCTTGGCAACGCTTTCTCTGCCAACTATTCACTTAAATCTTCGTCAGCTTGACAACACACTTTCCCAGATATTTATCTTTCTGCCAACACTTCTCTTGCTCTCTCTCCTTGCCAGCACTTTCGTAAACATTTGTATTGTTGCCAACACTATCTTCAATCTTCGTCTCCTTGGCAACACTTTCCTAAACAATAGTGTTTCCTTGCCAATACTTTTGTGAACATTTATATCGCAGCCAACACTATCCTCTATTTTCTCCTTGCCAACACTTTCCTAAATATGAATCCCTCTGCTAACACGTCCATTGGTCTGCCTCCTTGCCAACACTTTCGTAAACATTTGTATTGCTGCCAACATTATCCTCAGTCTTCGTCTCCTTGCCAACACTTTCCTAAATATCAATCTTTCTGACAACACTTCCCTTGGTCTTTGTCTCCTTATCAATACGTCTGTAAATATCTGTTTTCCTGCCAACACTGTCTTAAACATCTATATTTCTGCCCACACTTTCCCCAATCTGTTTTTCCTTGCCAACACTTCCCTAAACATTTATCTCTGCCAACACTTTTCTAAACCTTTTTCCATCATGTCAGTACTTTCTCCTTCCTTTAAGCAATTGCCAACATTTTCTCTCCTCACTCTCCTCCTTCCCTCTCTGCTGGCACGCATCTTCCCCCCCCCCTCCCCTCCTCTGCAGTATTTCCCTCATTCTCTTCCAAGTCTCTCTTTCTTTCATTTATTTCCCCTCCCTGACACCTAACTTCTCTGCCAATATTTTTTCCCTAGCTCCCTGTAATCACTTTTCTTTTCTTTTCCTCTGTCGTCGTTCTTCCCTGCCAATATTTACCCTTCTCATCTTGCAAGCCCTTTCTGCCTTCTTTCTCCCTTCCCCTGCCAATATTTCTCCCTATCTCCCTGCACATTTGCCTCCTTCTCTCATCCCCTGCTACCTCACCTCCCTGCCAATATTCCCTCCTCTCTCCTTGTGAACATTCCCTCCCTGTCCTCCTCTGCCTCTACCCTCCCTGCCAATATCCCCTTCACTCCCTCCAAGGACGTTTCCCTTTCTCCCTCCCCTGCCACCTAATCTCCCTACCACACTCTCTCCTTCCCTTACTNAGAGAGAGATAGAGAGAGAGAGAGAGAGAGAGAGAGAAAGAGAGAGAGAGAGAGAGAGAGAGAGAGAGAGAAGAGATAATGGGAGAGAGAGAGGAGAGAGAGAGATAATGGGGGGGGGGAGAGAGGGGAGGAGGAGAGAGAGAGAGAGAGAGAGAGAGAGAGAGAGAGAGAGAGAGAGAGAGAAGAGGGGGGGGGGGGAGATGCAGGAGGGAGATACCAGAGAGTATCACACATACCAGTTGTACAAATGATCATGAAACAACTACAAGTTTTGAGCATCTTATTTTCAACAAAAATAACATTTCTGACATTATGATGTGAGAGTAGGGCGGCGGGGGGCGGGAGGCCGCGGGAGTGTCCCCCTCGCCGCCCTCAACAAGGTGGAAGGTCTGTACACATCGGACTACCCCACGCCAGCCGGCCGGTCTGCGGGGGCTTTGGAATGAACTTGTCTGAATTTATAGCAGCGGGTGGGCGCCGATACTGCCCGGCGAGGACAGCTTTGTTCTCTACCATGGTCTGTGTGGCCTCTGCCGTCACCACTATCCACGGAGGAGGGGCGGGTGGGCGGTGGGCGTTGGGCTGGGGGAGGCCCGGGGCAGGGGGGAAAGGGCATCAGGTTCTCTGGGGCGTCATGATCCAGTGGGGTTCAACACTGGGGGTGGCGACGAGAAGTGTTAAGACTGATAAATACTCGAGGGCTGCGGGAGCGGGGAAGAGATCACTAGTGAAAAGGGGGAGACGCGCGGGGACGGGGAAGGGGGAGGGGAGCGGGAGACGGACGGTGGCGGGGCATCGAATGACGGTAGACACACGGGCCTGTAATCAATGAGGCAGCCTCACACCCAGAGCCTGAGTATTAACACAAACCACCTACTTACTCGTATTACACATACAGTTGGGGTAGCTTTGTACACCAGAGTGCGGCTTGACAACACTAGTCCACAAAACAGATCACAGATAACACTTATCACGGCAGTCGACCAGTCCAGGGATCATTATCGTCACTCGTCATCGCTCACAGGTTCAACACTAGGTTCATAGCCTTGGGCGTGGCGGCCGCTGTTGGCGTTACTACTGGTGGTGGAGGCCGTGGTAGCGGGAGGGGGTGCGCCCGGCGGCCCTCCGTGCCCTCGGAACCCAGTGTACGTGTAAGGATACTGGCTTCCCGACACTGTATTGGCGGGCGGGTAACTGGGGCGATCCCCACCACAGTCGCCCCCCTTGGGCCCCCCTGGCTTGTTCCCGCCCATGTCAGCGCCGGTCTTGGAGGGCGGGTGGGCGTCCCGCGGCGACTCGTCGATCACCATCTCGTCTGACTGGGGGAATTGGCCGCCTCTTCGCGCGCAGCGGCAGCGGCGGCAACAGCCTCCTCGCGTCTGTCTCGTACCATGTCTCCACCTGTGGACCGTGGACGCGATGGGGGCCGCTCAGCAGCTTCTAGTCTTGCTCTCTTCTTGGCAGCATCTTCCATGTCGTAGTGAGCATTCTGCTGAGGGGCTGACTGCTGTGGAGGCGGAGGGGGAGGCTGCTGCTGCTGGTGCTGGGAGACGGGAGTGCCGGACCGAGGCCGCCGATCGTCATGCACACGCTGCTTGTCCGATTCTTGGGTTTCTGGCGTTCTCATCACTTGAGCTATTTTACACCGCACATACTCGAATACCTCCTCCTTGGACTGGGGGGGGGGGATAGGGTCTTTTGCGTTGCCAAGGAGGGTTTGGATCAGTGTGGTTGAGGTCTGCCGGGGGCTGGGCACGACGATGGGAGGCGATATGGGCTCCACTGGGAAGCTTCCTGCTGGAGCTGCGGGTGGTGTTCGCATTTTGTGGTCCGGTCTTGGGACACCGACTGCGCAATCCGGATAATTTTTCGTTCATCCGGCGCTAAATGTTGAGCAGAGAGGTGGTGGGAGCTGGGTGGCGCCGTGGTGGGCGGCGGGCGGTGAGGGAGCGAGATTCCAGCCGCTCCTTGCCACTCTCCTTGTCGTGGCCACGCATCTTCCAAGGGTCGTAGCCCACCTGAGACACCGTGACGGCAGGAGGGCCGCCAGACCCGACTAGAGGCCGCCCTTCGGTGCGCAAGATCTCGAAGGACCGGCTGTATGGCATGTGCGGGCCTCCCATCTTGCGCCCGTCCCCACTGGACAGTTCTCGGTGGATCATCTGGTCTAGGTGCGCCTGCATTGACTTGGGCTGCGAGCCAGGGTGGTGGGACGCGGCGTGGAGGCTGGCGCCGAGGCCCTCCTTGTGGTTCACGGGGTTGGGAGGCCGAGGCTCGGGGCCGTCCTCGACCATCACCACCTCCTCCTTGTTCATGGGTGCGGCAGGAGATCGAACGCGCTTGTCTAACTCGACCACTTGCAATGCCACTTCACCGTCTCGTCTGTACGTCCTTTGGTCTCCTCCTCCTCCACCTGCACTGCCTCCCCTCTCTCCACCAGCACCACTAGTTCCACAACTGCTGCCTCCACTGCAGCCTCCCCCGCCACCTCCACCACCTCCACCAGTGCCACAATCCCCACTATTATGATTAATTTGCTGCGTTATGATTCGGTCAATCAGGTTAGCGGCTGTCATCGTCTCGTCCGGATTCCGGTGCTTCTGCGCCTGCGCGTTCTTGGGGTCATCCTTCCTGAAGCAGGCGGCCATGTCGCGGGCCACCTCCGCCTCCAAGTTGGCCTTGCCGTCGGGGTTCTTGGCTATCCTGTGTCTGTCCACGGCCTCGTAGTAGCCCCTCTCCCCCTGGGGCGGGGGGACGCGGCCGTCGTGCTTGTCCCGGTCTATGGTGCGCACGTTCCGCACGGAGTCCGTGAAGTGCTTCTCGAAGCCCTCCAGCTGCCGGTTCTTGGTGGGACGGCGGCCGCGCCTCCCGTCTCATCTCGGGCATGGCGTAGCCCACGTTGCTGCGCTGCGCCACGGCGATGTCGACGAAGGCGTGGAAATTGTCCGAGCCCGACGGGTGGCGCGGGGAGTAGCGGTTGGGCTCCAGCTGCGGCGAGATACTTTTGGGCGGCGGTACGGCGTGTGGGGTGAGTTTGCTGCCGGTGGGCCGACGCTGAATCACGCCCACCCTGGGGGGCGGCGTGGGCGTGGACACACCTGGAGACCTGAAGTCGTGAGGCGAGGGCGCCGGGTCACTCGTGGGAGGCGTGGGCGTAGCGTCACGAGCGGAGGCTGGGGAAGGCGGAGGTCTGGACACCCGATCGACAGGGTGATACACCGGGGCCGAAGGCTGCGCGGGCGGCTGGTACGAGCCGTGCCCTGGGGGGCCTCCCGGGGGGCCTCCCGGGTAGTAGATTCTGGGGTCCATGCTGTGGGCCATCCGGTGGTCGATGCCTCGCAGCTCCGGGGGCCGGTGGTCCACCGTCCGGATGTCGATGGTGCGCGGGTCGACCGGCCGGGCCTCCATGATCCTGCTGACGGAGGTGGTCCCTGGCAACGTGCGGTGGTCGCGGGGGTCGCTCTGGGGGCTGTGGTCCCTCCCGCGGGGGACACGAGCGCCTCCTTCTCAGACACGGCGCGCCGTCCGTGCATCTGCTGGGAGGTGATGTAGTCATTGGCGATGATCTGGCGGGAGCTGATCTGAGATTCAGAGTAGGGCGGTCGCGTTGCATACGGGTAGTTGGTGTACGGGTAGGTGGTGGTGGGCGGCGCCGAGGAGATGGGCGGCCGCGGCCCACGGTACGAGTGCTCGCGCTCGTACTGCGGGTTCAGCGACGGCCGCGGGATGATCTCGACGCCGCTGCCGGGCCGCGGCTCGTACACCACGCCCACCACGTCCTTGTACAGGTTGCCGGAAATCCTCTTCTGCTCGTGGTGCATGGGCGTGCCCTGCGTGATGGAGCCGCCCTCCTTGCCCATGCCGCTCTTGGGCATCATGTCGAAGCGCGCCGGCTGCGTGATGGGCACCGACACGATGGGCGGCGGGTTGACGGGCGTGCCGTGCGTGATGGAGCCCACGTGCAGCGGCTTCTCGGCCTTGACGGAGATGCGCGACGCCACGCTCACCGGCTGCTGCGCCGAGTGCTGGCTGCGCACGGTCAGCGGCGGCGGCGGCGCCATGCTGGGCTTGCTCTTGGAGGACTGCGTGTGCTGCGGGCGCACGTGCGTGGCGTACACAGGGGCTGCGCTCCGCTGGGCGCCACGTTGGTCATGATGGAGGACGCCGGGTGCGGCAGCGCGCGCGCGTCCGAGATGAAGGCCGACGGAGACTTGTTGCGCGGGTCGGCGTAGGCCCACGGCTCGTGGCTCGGCGGCTTGCTGTAGCTCGGGGTGGAGTTGGAGTGCGCCTGCGGGGGCGGCTCCTTGTTGGTGATGGTCAGCTCGGCGCCGCCACGCACCGTCAGCGGCAGGTCGCGGGACAGCGGGCGGCCGGCGGGCGGCGGCGGCGGCTGGTGGGACTGGTGCGGCTGGTGCGGCTGCGGCGGGTGGTGGAAGTGGGTCGGGTGGGCGTGGTGCGCGGGCGGCTGCTTCGGGGGCGGCGACCGGTCCCGCTTGCGGACGCTGAGATCGAGTCCCTCGCACTGCGTGTCCTGCGTGTCGAAGGTGCTGGCGTCGCTGGGCGGCAGGCCGTCGCGGGGGTCGTTGTACCTGCCGGGCGTGTGCAGGCGCTGCTCTCGGTGGAAGTCGCGGCGGGCGGGGGCCGCCAGCGGCTGCGGCGGCTGCCCGCGCCCGAAGTTCGACGCCTTCAGGATGGACTCGATGGTGGGGGGGTCCTTGGAGTTGACGTTCGAGGAGCACGGGTCCTCCAGGGACTTCTCTATGGCGATGTAGATGAGGTCCCGCACGTTGCTGGGATCCGGGTTTTGAACTATATTGGTGGGTGGCGTGGGCGAGGGCTTGGCGTGGGCGGGCGGGTGCTGCGGCTTGCGCTCGCCGGGGTGCGGGATGTGCTGCACCTCGGGCGAGTCCCGGCCGGCGCCGCTCTGGCCCTCGTCGGCGCTGGCCGTGGCCGACGAGTCGTAGTCCTCGCGCACGCTGGGGGGCTGCGGCGCCACGGGCGGCGGCGGCTCCTTCATCAGGCCTTCGCCGGGGCCCGCCGCCTCGCGCTTCTCTGCACCGCGAGGAAAACACATTAGTGACGCCCGAAGGCACTCGGCATATGGCACGAATATCAAACTCATCATTTAGCAGTATGGTTCATGAAGTACAGAGAATGAGAGAAAATAAAACTAATATGTACTCTTCAACATGGCTACGCAACATGCAGATACAAGGAAGTTGCAACAGCGATACAAAGCTACTCTATCCCGCTCATGTCTCATCGCTCTGCTCTCGCTGTGGCTTGGCATTCATGTGAAACGAACATTACTGTACGACAAACAAAAATGTAGATAGATAGACAGGCAGATGGATTCACACGTTACCAATTTCGTTTCCATACACTCACTGTAATAAAGAATAAAAAAATCCAGTCACACGCGCTCGCATGGCCATTCACTCACGCCTGGTTTTCGCTACGTACACACGCTGTCAATGGCACATCATCGCAAAGCACCGATTTAGCCAGCTGTTTCTCTCTCTCTCTCTCTCTCTCTCTCTCTCTCTCCTCTCTCTCTCTCTCCTCTCTCTCTCTCTCTCTCTCTCTCCTCTCTTCTCTTCTCTCTCTCACACACACACACACACACACACACACACACACACACACACACACACACACACACACACACACACACACACACACACACACACACACACACACACACACACTCGCTCACGCATACAAACACCTATTCACCCACCACCCACCCACCTACACATTCACCCACTTCCCACCCACCTACACCCCACACACACACACGCACACACACACACGCGCGCCAATCCTCTCCCTCACCATCGATATTGTTTGGTGCGCGGGGCCAGGTGAGGGCGCCGAGGTGGTGTCCGAGTCGGGGCCCGTGGGCAGGGCCGGCAGGGGGCCCTCGTCGCAACTGGACGTGGACGACCCGCTCTCCTCCTCGTCCGTCACCGTGGGGGTCCGTCTCCCTTGCCTACGAGGCGGCCAAGGGGTCAAGGGGGAAGGAGGGGGAAAGGAGGGGTCAAGGGGGAAGGAGGGGGAAGGGGGAATTGGGAGGGGGAAGGGGGAATTGGGGAGGGATGGGGAATTGGGGATGGAGGAAGGAAGGAAGTTGGGGAGGGAAGGGGGAATTGGGGAATAGGGGAGGGAGGAAGGAAGCGGGACATGGGGGGAGGGGGAATGGAGGAAGGACGGAATAGTAAAATGGGTAGGATGTGATGGGAGGGGAGAGGAGGAAGAGAAAAAAAAAGAAAATGAGAAAAAAACAACAATTACAAGATGCTACATATATCTATTTTTTCATCTACTGCCAATCCAAATTTACGAAAGGCTAAAATAGTAACAACAATGGTAATAATGATGATAATAGTAGCAAAAACAACAGTAGTAGTAGTAATAATAATATATTAGCAACCATGATAAAAGTGCTAATGTGCATATCACGAAAAAAAATAATAATTTAGAACCAAATCAGAGATAAAGAATAAAAAAACGTGAAAATAAGAACAAGAAGAACAAGAAGAAGAAAGAAGAAGAAGAAAAAACAATAATAATAATAATAATAATAAAGGAGAAACGACCACAACGGCTTCCACCTGACTCCTCCTCCTTACCTCGCGCCTTACGGTACTCCGCCACGATCTCGTCAAACTTGTACTTCTTTTTGAAATTGAAGTAGAAGCTCTTGCACTGCCCCTCGGTCTTGCTCGGGACCCGCTCGGCAACCTTGGACCAATGGCAGCCGACCTGTGACCAAGGGGACGGGGAGAAAAGAGAAAGAGAACGTGAGAATAACGAAGCCAAAGACACAGACGAAAACAAGACAAACGGACACAACACACACACACACGGAGTCCGACTCGTCATAATAAATTCCATACTCACGAACCCCCCCCATAAAAGACCCATATAAAAAGACAACATCAAATATCAAAAACAAAAAAACAAGCAAACAAACAAGAAACCAAAGCCCCGCACCTCCCGCAGCGCCGATCGGAGGGCGTCCAGATCCTCGTCGGACCAGCGGCTCGGGTCCACGGGCTCCTCGGCATCCGGCCCCAGCTTGCGTGTGATGCGGTTGTGGCACGCGGAGCAACACTTGGTGCAGTCGCTCGGGATCTCTGCAAGGGAAGAGCCGGGTTAGGAGGGCGGCTGAGAAGGGGCCGAGGGTGGGCAGGAGAGGGGGAGAGGTGGAGGGAAGGGAGGGAGGGAAAGAGAGGTAAAAGGGAAGGGGAGAGAGGTGGAGGGAAGGGAAGGGAAGGGAAGGGACAAAAGGGAGGGAAAAGGGAAGGGAGAGAGGTGAAGGAGAGGGGAGGGAAAGGAAGAGAGATAGAAATGAAGGTAAGGTAAAGGGAAGGGAATTAAAGTGGAAGGGGAAAAGTGTGAGACCTGAAGTAAGGGGGAGAGCAAGGGAGAGGCAGGCTTAAGGAGGGGAAAGGAGAGGGGGCAAAAAAAAAGAGATACAAATACTTTTGCAATATTGACAGAGCGCAATCTGATATCAGAGTAGAGGCTAGATACACGATCGAGGAAGCGAAAGCACAAAATGGAAAAAAGGGCGGGATGCTTCCTGCGCCGGAGAGAAAAAGGCGCTGCTTCCGAGCCGCCTCCGCCTCCTCCTCCCTCCTCCTCCTCCTCCTCCTCCTCCTCCTCCTCCTCCTCCTCCTCCAGCCGAGCGTGGCTTCATCAACGTTTCTGCAATACTCACGGAACTCTTTAATGATGGGCTCTTTGACTTGGGGCGGGAGGTCGGCCCAGCGCGACGGGAGCGGCCGCAGGCGCTTGCCTCTCCACTTGGGCGTCGGGCACGTCGGGATGGACACCTGCAAAACCCGCACAAACAATACCAATTAGCATACATCGTGGGCCGGGCGCTCGCGGGCTATTGGCAGACGACAAGGAATCAAATGCGCGGCCCGATTCCTGGGCGGAAGGCCAAGGGAACATGACGTCAGTGACACTTACTGCCTGACCCTGACCC